TAAAGGTAGCTAAGAAAAGGATAGCTAATATAAAGGTAGGTAATAAGAAGATAGCTAATTTAAAGGTAGCTAAGAAAAGGATAGCTAATATAAAGGTAGGTAATAAGAAGATAGCCTATAAAATGTAGCTAATATAAAGGTAGCTAATAAGAAGATAGTTTATATAAAGATAGATAACTAATAAAATGTAGCTAATATAAAGGTAGCTAATAAAAGATAGTTAATATAAAGGTGGCCTATGTAAAGGTAGCTAATAAAAAGCTAATATAAATGTAGCTCATATAAAGATAGCTAATAGCAAGATAGATAATATAAAGACAGCTGGTATAAAGATAACTAATATAAAGGTAGGCAATAGTAACATTACTGATATAAAGGTAGCTAATATAAAGTTATTTTCATATTTTTATACTTTATATTCAATACCTCTGTTCCCTTATCATCATTATAATTGTTATTATATTGTACAGCTTGAACTGTCCACTATTTATTTTATTCCTTTGTTCTTTATTTTACTTCTATTTATCTGTTTTGCTTAATTTATGCTCGTTGTTCTTCTGTGCTGTCTGTGCTTTAAGCAACACTGTAAGCGCCAAGAGTGGCAAAACGAATTCCTAGTACGTGATCAGTAAAGTGAATTCTGATTCTGATAATGTAAAGACAGCTAATATAAAAATAGCTTTAAAAAAAAAAAAAAGGCAACCCTGAACAGAAACAAAGCTATGTGACTGGAGAGTCACGTAAGTTTGGCAAAATGTGACAAGGGTTTGTGTGTAGGACTCGCCGTTTTACGCCGTCTATGACCTGGACCTGAAGGAGAGCGCCCTGGGGGAGGGGAGCTTCTCCATCTGCAGGCGCTGCACCCACAGGAAGACAGGCCAGAGCTACGCCGTGAAGATCGTCAGCAAACGGTGAGTCCTTACTCGGGTGGGGTCACCTCAGCCTCGGCCCAGTTTTTGCTTTTTAACACCCCCCCCGCCCCCACCACCTCCCCGGTATATTCAAAGAATGGAGTCTCAGACGCAGAAGGAGATCGCAGCCCTGAAACTGTGCGATGGCCACACCAACATTGTCAAGTGCTACGAGACATACCACGACCAGGTTGGTATTGTGTGTGTGTGTGTGCGTATGTGTGTGTGTCCGACCGGAGCGGAATCCTAGCAGGTGCATCGACCTGCTCCCAAGGGCTCCTTCAGAGCTGATGAGGAGCACAGAGTCATTACTGACTCCTTTTCAAACGCTTCAGCTCCCTTTATCCAGATCAAAGGCGCACGGTCTCCTCCTCTCCCCACCATTGTCCTGACAGTGAGAGGTCTGACTGTGCTGCTCTTTGATGTACCTTCATCTCAGCTGGATTTGTTTGCTCTGTCTAGTTTAATTTATCAGCCCGTTGAAACAGAGCAAAAATGGTGTTTTTGTAATACTTAATAATAATATATATATATTTTTTAAATTCTGATTCATTTTTGTGTTTGGTAAATTGTACTATAAAAATCATTATGCTTTGCGTTTTCATTTGAACAGCATAAGTTGTGATGTGGACATATGATTTAGTCTTAGAAGTGGCAATCTGGGTTTGGAAGGTGCCGATCTGGGTTTGGAAGGTGCCGATCTGGGTTTGAAGGCGCCTATCTGGGTTTGAAGGCTCCGATCCGGGTTTGGAAGGCACCGATCTGGGTTTGGAAGGCGCCGATCTGGGTTTGGAAGGTGCCGATCTGGGTTTGGAAGGTGCCGATCTGGGTTTGAAGGCTCCAATCTGGGTTTGTAGGCGCTGATCTGGGTTTGGAAGTTGCCGATCTGGGTCTGGAAGTTGCCGATCTGGGTCTGGAAGTTGCCGATCTGGGTTTGGAAGTTGCTGATCCAAGTTTGCTGTGTCCTGCCCCCCTTTTAGCTGCATACGTACCTGGTGCTGGAGCTGCTGCGGGGCGGCGAGCTTCTAGATAGGATCCGGCGCAAGCAGCACTTCAGTGAGAGCGAGGCCAGCAGCATCATGCGGCGCCTGGTGTCGGCCGTCAGCCACATGCATGATGTCGGCGTGGTGCACCGCGATCTCAAGCCGGAGGTGGGCGGAGCTCCAGCACTGTAACGCCACGCTGTGCACATGCGTGTTTGGGGCTCTGCTCTCAGTGTTCTCAACTCAGAACCTTTTTAAGTATTTTTCTTCATTTTATATATCTATCTATCTGTCTGTCTATCTATCTATCTATCTATCTATCTATCTATCTGTCTCTGTCTGTCTGTCTGTCTATCTGTCTGTCTGTCTGTCTGTCTGTCTATCTGTCTGTCTGTCTGCTGTCTGTCTGTCTGTCTGTCTATCTGTCTGTCTGTCTGCTGTCTGTCTGTCTGATCTACTTATAGGCATATTTGTGTTTTTCTGAAGATACTGAATTCCTTAACTGAATTAGTTACGTAAAATGTTATTACTTCTTTTATTTCTAGAATCTGCTGTTTACTGACAACGGCGAGGCTTCGGAGATAAAGGTCATCGACTTTGGATTTGCCCGTCTGAAGCCCCCCGACAACCAGCTGCTGAAGACGCCCTGCTTCACGCTGCAGTACGCCGCGCCGGAAGTCCTCAAATACGACGGCTACGATGAGTCATGTGACCTGTGGAGCCTGGGCGTCATCCTGGTGAGAATCGGGGGCGGGGCCAATCCCAAGCCTGCTCCCTCCCTCTACAGCAACGGTCTCCCTGGCCACGAAAAGACCATGGAGAGCCACCAAGGGAGTAGAGGAATATCTGCATGTCTACATTGATTTCAATACCAAATACTGAATATTTGAAAGAATAATATCTCTATTTACATATTGGGTTGTTATACTTAAATATGTATAATAATAATTGCTGTATTCCAGTTCAGCAGATGATACACCTGTATGATTAACGTTACTGATTCTGACTGTAGCATACACCAATGTGGTTTGTATTCTTTTATTTTACAATGAGCTATAGATACATCTTTGTACATGGGGAGGCGGAGGAGACTGGATTGCCCCATTTTTGCTCTGTTTCAATCTTTGATGTCTGTTTGGGTCAGTACCAGTAGTAACAGTAACCCAGCATCTGATTCATGTAGGATACCCTTAATGTTAACATACATGTAACAGATTGCGCAATGCAAAGAACACCAGTATCTGTTTGCTATGTAGACAGGAGTCATTGAATCAGGTATTATTTATAAAGGCTTTGTCTTTGCTGTGTTTCCTGGGAATGGAACGTTTTGTGATGATTCTGATGCCAGAAAACAATAAATATTGGGATTCTGGCAGACATTTTGCATAACCTGTGTCTGATAGAGCCGCAGTTTTCCTGCTTGGCTGGTCTTGAGCACTCTGGTTCCCTGAGGTCTGTTCCATGTTGCGGCAGCCTCAGGGCTGTACTTGAGTGATGCAGTGCGACACTGTGATGAGCCAAGACTGTATATAGGTACACGGTGAACTAGACAAGTGAGGCTCACAACAAGACCCCTGATTAGCTGCAGACAAAAATAGCCCATAGTCACCAGAAATGGACTACCTCCCAAAACCTTTGTTGGTTTATAGCCCCCCTCCCCTCGATGTCTACAAAAATGACCTGTTCTCTTTTTTGTGCTGCTTTCCATAGTACACCATGCTTTCTGGACAGGCACCCTTTCAGTGTCACCCTAAAAGCGGTGCCTCTACCTCTGCTGAGGAAATCATGCAGAAGATAAAAAAAGGGGACTTTTCATTTGAAGGAGAGGCGTGGAGAAATGTATCCCAGCAGGCAAAGGACCTAATAAAAGGTGTGGAAAGTCAGGAGCTTAAAAACATTACATCATGTGTGAAGAGCTGACGCCTGATTGGGGATTTTTATATTTTTCTCCTCCCCCCACGCAAAAGATCTCCTGACAGTTGACCCACAGAAGCGGATCAAGATGACCGGCCTGCAACACAATGCCTGGCTCCAGGGTGGCGGCCAGCTGTCTTCCAGCCCCCTCATGTCGCCCACCATCTTGGGTTCTTCCGCTGCTGCTGTGCACACCTGTGTCAAAGCCACCTTCAATGTAAGAGCACAGTCACAGAACACGCATCATCTGTCACTCAAACCGGGAGGCCCTATCAGCACGCATAGCCCCTCCTCTTCTGAATCTGATTGGCTGTAGGCCAGCTCTTCTTGATGGGATCAACAAGTTCCCACTTGGATTTCTTATTCATATGATATAAGGATAATCATATGACTACTTACATTGACGTATTATCAGAATCTTGTTTTTTAAGCTTATTTGTAGTAATGTGCTTTACTGTTTCATAATCCTTTATTCAGGTAACTTTGGCATCTCAGTGGAATCAAGTCATTCCTGTGTGGTGCTCACAGCTGTCTGTCTTTCTGAACTGAACCGTTAACTGGCATTTTTTATTCCTACCCTGATTTTAAAGGATTTTTTACAATAGTTATTTCAAAATTCTAAGGCATCTTTGTATTTTCCTTTAAAGTCTCATAATCCTTTTTTCACCCTCTGCTGCAGGCCTTCAACAAGTGCAAACGTGAGGGCTTCTGTTTGCAAACAGTGGACAAGGCCCCGCTAGCAAAGAGGAGGAGGATGAAGAAGACTAGCACCAGCACAGAGACGCGGAGCAGCTCCAGTGACAGCTCACGCTCCTCCTCTTCCTCGCAAGACCACACCTTTTGTGGGGACACATCCCGGCTTCATGGTGGTGTCCCCTTCACTCCCGGTCCAGGCATCAGTGAAGACCCCTCTTCATGTCCTCCCAGCCCAGAGTAAACTCAAGGACATACACTCACAGTCTACACTCCACCAAACAAACATACACTCACAGTCTACACTCCGCCAAACAAACATACACTCACAGTCTACCCTCCGCCAAACAAACACTCACAGGCC